GATGATAAACACTGTTAGGTTGATGTGTATCATTCTTGTTCTTTTCCTTTGTGTTTGTGTGTGTTTATATATAAAAATTGGCTCTTGTACTTAGTTTTGTAACCTTGTCTTATTTAATATGGTGAATATTTCTTACGGCATTAACTTTTCTATAGCAGAGGTTGGCAAATGGCTTACCACTTTAATTTTGTAAATAAAGTTGTACTGGAATACAGTTGTGCCCATTCCTTTACATGTTGCCTATGGCTGCTTTTGCCACTGCAACAGCTGAGCTGAGTAGTTGTAACAGAGACTGTGGACTGCAAAGCCTCAAGTATTTACTATCCGGTTTTTTACAGACAGAGTTTGCCAACCTCTGTTCATTTTGATGGCTATCCAATGTTCTGTTGTTGGAATGCTTAGTAAAAATAGTAGCTAACATTAAGCATTCTTCAGTGAACATCTTTTTTTTTTTTTTATTATTAGTCAAGTGCAGTAGTGGGGAAGGGGGAAAGTAGTAGAACAAAGAGTTCAATCTGTACCTGACTGTGAACAATCAAGTGAGATAACTCACTACCTTCGGACCGGCCCAGTGAACATCTTTGATACATATTCGCAATTATTTCCTTAAGATAAGTTGAGGCTGGCTTTCATATGTAGGATGCAAATGAAAGAGAGTGATTTAACTTAGATACTAGCAGCTGGATCAGAATGTATGAGAATTGCAGCACCCTGTGTTTTAAATCCAGGGTCTCTTTCCCCTACATACACACACACACACATACATACTTTGTAATATTTATTTTTTTCTGGTTTGGATGTAGGAAGTCCAAATAGTACACTCATAAAAACAGTAGAAAGTCCAGATGTAAGTCTGTACTGTATCTCTTTACCACTGTCTCTCCTCAGACTAACCACTATGTCTGTCAGTTACAGTCTGGTTTATATTTTGCGATTACATACCACTTTTTAAAGATAAAGAAATCTTTGCCTTAGTGCTTCTGAGATCTCAGATTGATCCTGTGTGAGCATAGTAGCAAGAAGATTCAGAGCCAAAGAGTGATGCCATGGAAGCTGTGACCTGCTCCTGGGTTGCCTCAGGACACCTGGCTACTGTTACTAAGTTCTGGTACTTTCTTCCCCAGGTCAATCATGCGAGGCTGTGACAATATGTGTAGCTACTGCATCGTTCCTTTCACACGTGGCCGGGAGAGGAGTCGGCCTGTTGCTTCCATTCTAGAGGAAGTGAGGAAGCTTTCTGAACAGGTAAAGAGTTCTCTAGGCTCTCTTGCTGTGAGCATGTTTGGGGGAAGATGAGGACAACCTTTTCAATTTTCAGCCTATGCTTTCTCTAAGTTTCAAAAGTTTGGGACCATGCCTGGCAAGAAAGAAGTATCTGGGTTTACCTTTGGTTTGCTGCCCACAAATTATAGGCAGGTCCACTGTGAAGTTTGGTTAGGAGGCAGCACAGTGGAATGGAGAGAGCACGAGGTTAGAATGAGGTGATGGAGTATGAATTCTGGCTCCATCATTCTCTGGCTTGAAGCCTAAGCATAAGTCATTTATCTGTCGTCTTCAAAATGTAGTTTCACCATCTATGAAAAGAGGATAAAATAATGCTTTGCTCGTAGGGTTATTTGAAAGGCTTGGAGGAATTGTATTTAAACCACTTGGCACATAGTAAGTTTTCAGAGAATGAGGTATTAGTCTGCCTGTCTCTTCTAGGGAAAATCCCCAAATCTCTTGTTCATTTTATCACTGGGTCAGCTCACTGGCTGAGGGACAGAGAATAGATGAGGGCAGTGAGTTGGATCAGAGCCAGAGGAGAGAGATCTGCTCCTCTTTCTCCTATTGGGAGCTGGTCCTTCAGCTTTTGAAGAGGTCTCTCCCCAGCACCAGGCCTGGATCTTCTAGCCCTGCAGAAAAGGACACTAGGTGGGAATATGGCACTTTCCTTCCAGTGGGGTCTCCCTGCTTCCTTACTCGTTTGTCCAGTAACCATGGCAGAGGGCCATGCGAGCCCCTGTTCCAGCTCTTTGTCACCAGTTTGCCTTCGTTCTCACATTCTGACAATGGGCTCTTCTCTTCCCTCATCCCCACATGATCAGTTTCCTGATTTGGTCCTTGGCCTGTTCACCAGCGCTGAGGGGTACTCTCCATACCTCACCTCTCCAAGTGCTTCCTGGTCTAAAGCTGCCTCCTTCCTCTTCCCTTTTGGTTCTCTCACAGCACCGAAACTCACTCCTTCAGGAGAAAGACATTATGTTTAAATAGATTGAAATGGTTACAAAAACTCCCCAACCTTTCCAGGTTATTTGCATATGAAAGAAAGAACATAACAACATTAAAGTGAATCTTAGTGAATTCAAGACCATGAACTTGTGGAAAATTAA